CAAAACAAGTTGCAAAAAGTCAGTCTACATTTAGAGCGGAAATTGACTTCCGCAAGAATGAAAGCTGTTTTTATCTCTACCAAATCATGCAAACTGGATTTTTTTTTAAATAGAGTTGTAGACCGACATCTGATCTACAATTTAGCCACTCCAAAAATTTCTTCAATGGCGGACCTTTGGGAAAAACTGTAAGAGAAGGTCGGTCTACAAAAAAACGGAAAAGATGTTTGTAAAATGATTATATCTAAACAACAACAAAAAAAGTAAACAAAGTTGAACACTAATAATATGGTTAGATTCACAATTCAATTCTCTACAGGATGCGCTGCTTTCCTTTTCTTTTTATATCTTTTATATAACCAAAAATTCAGTTTTCAGATGATGAATCATCAGAAAATTAAGTTTTTTCAACTTTCGAGTCCCATAACTTTGCAACGAAAGGACGTATCGAGTAGAAAATTTTTGTGGAAATGGGCAAAGTACTAGGCAAAACACAGGAAAAAATTTGCTCAAGCGAACCTCTTGTAACCTGAGTTATTATAGAAACATATCTAAACAAGTGATTGTACTAGAAAGTTACGTTTCTCTCAAATATAGTTGGAAAAATTTGCCGATCAATTTTATGAAAAAAATTAATTTTCATCTGGAGAAGAGGAGAGTCGAACTCCTGACCTTTCGCATGCGAAGCGACCGCTCTACCAACTGAGCTACATCCCCTGTTTTTCTTGTGTTTCTTTGCTTAAGCATTTTATCCATTCAATTGAATATATTTTACATGAATAAATGGTACACAAAGACAAATGTATAGAAAAATAGAGAAAAAAAAACTTAATTATATATTATTCATTTTTCCATAGCGTCGAATTTCTGTTGGAATTGTTGTGGAATCTAAAACAGATTGTAGTTCATCGCATTTCAAACTAAATGATAATATTTCTTCGTCATTAAATTTTTCGTTCATATATCGATTACGATGTTTTTCTAACAAACCTCGATCTTTCAATCGATCAAATGCCTGAAAAAAAACAACAACTAAATAATCAATACAAAAGTAGGACATATTCAGTATTTGTTATATTTAAGTTATCCATTATCCAAGTCTGATTTGTTCAGTGAAAAGTAGTTTAAATGAATGATGAAACTAGTTTGATATTCTACCATCTTCGGAGTACTTCAAGTTATTCTTAATATATTAAAAATAATGATTTAAACTTACTTTGCTAACAACACCTTTATCGTAAAAGTATTTTTGATTTTTTAAAATATATTTTGAATATTCGTTATAAACTTGTTCAAATGTAATTCTTGTGTCATTTATTTGTTGTCCATCATTTCCATCTTCGTCATCGCTATCTACAGTATGATGTATTCTTTTACCAGAATTCAATTCAATCTGTTTGACGATATTTAACCCAATCAATAATAACAGTATTTCCAAATGTGTTAAACATCCATGAATTTGTGTGTTTGGTCGATTAAATGTTTCGCCTATATCATCGATTGTATTATTATCATGACAACAACGAAGCATTTTTATTAGAGTTTGTTCGATATTTGCTAATGAATTATAGGTTGAAAAAGCTTTATCCATAGCCATCAATTCATTTGAGTGATCCCTAGTACTACCGAAACGTTGTAAACAATCCTTGGCAAAATCTATTGAGTTTGGTGCATTTATAATGATATGAATGTTTGAAAAACGTGATTTTAAACGTTTTTCCGGTAATTCGAGACAATCGGCGCGATTAGATACAGCAATTGTTATAATTGAATAGCATGCTAAAGTTGATTTATCGGCATAAACAGTATCGAATAATGCATAGAGTATTGAATTTAATTTTTGTTGGGCAAAATATTCAAATTGATTTAAAACAATAATAAAACATCTATTTGATTTGTTTAATTTTGAAATGTACATTTCCAATAATAATTGTAAATTATCAATAGGAACTGTTGATAAATCGGGATCTATATTACAATCCGATAAATACATGTCTAATTGTGAGGCAATTTCTTGTAAAGCTGGTGTTTCAACTGCGTGCAATAGACCTGAAAGGGAAAAAGCTGAGAAATGTACAAAAAAACCATCTTGTGCTAAGTAAAAAACGAACCATTAAGTCGAATAATAGTCATTCGATCATTAACTATGGGATCTGTTTTTAAATTTGTAAATATATGCTCAAGTACTTTTGTTTTTCCAGATGATGGAAAACCTGATACTAATAATGTTTCACTCTTCATTTCTAATATGTGACGTTTCAATAATTGCAACAACGACTCGATATTCGCTTCTATTTCGGCATTTCGAAATATCGTTGAATCTGTTGTTTTCATTATCTTTCGTTTGTTGTTCATCGATTTTTTATGTCTTAGTGACGATGACATTTTCTACAAAAAAAACAAAATTTTTATAACAAGTATAAAACCGAACTAAAAAGCCGAAACAATTAAATGTTTACTGTTATTAAATCAATGCTTTCGTCGGTAATCACAAAACTAGCTAAATAAATGTGTGAGAGCGAAAAGATTGGATTATAAAATAATACGTACGCTTTGTCTTTTAGATATCATTCTACAAACCTTTGTATATCAAATATAATTAACTGTTTACCGAACATGCTTCATCAATAGAGAGTATAAAGTATAATGCAGCTGTCAGTGGAACGACAGCGAAAAAGGCAGAGAAATTCTGTAGTGCACGCTTAAGATAAATAATTATTCCTCAGGAGACAATCCCAATTACATGAAGATGATGCATATTACATCTCGAAACCGTTCTAAATAATCCGTTCCGATGGTATCTTCTTTTCCACACTCCATGCTTATTAGTTTTTAGAGCCGTGCAAGATTGTTTCTGTTATTGGATGTGTACTGCGAAAAGGTGACTCTTGCCATTGACAGTAGTGTCATCATACTTAGGATAAAAATACAAATAAACAATCAATTCATGAAGTACAAATAATATTTCGAATTCATGAAAACGATCTTTTATATACATTGAAATTCTTTCTATAATGCATAAGTATGTCGATTACTGAATGAGACAAAACAAAGCCTCTTGTCTCATTCGCTTCCTATCGCAGCCATGAAAATAATAGAACGAAAAAAGAAAGAAAGAAAAAAGGACAACAGGTACGGGAAAAGTTATACAGCGTCGTAGCTAGAAAACGCTGCAGATATGTAATTTATTGAAAAAATGCACCAAGATTTTGAAGAACGATACAAATTTTTTTCCGTATCTAATAAGGAAAAAATGTTGCTCTTCGTGGAATACACTATCTCCAGAATTATTGTAATAGAATGAACTTCATTGTATTTCACCCATGTATTCCACGTATCACAGCACTCAAAATCTAATGCGAAATAAGAACAGATCTAAAGCAATAGAGCGCTGTTTCAAAATCGAGCGTACAGTATAGCGATGCTCTTATTGGCTTAGTGATGAAGCGGGCTTACCACTGCAATTCACCACGAAAACGTGAAATCCACTGTAATTTTCATCGTGACTTTAAAATTTGTACTGTGTTCTTAAATGTAAATCTGATTGTGAAGTGAATTTTGTTTGAACTGCAAATTCTAACTATAAAATGTCAACTGTGACGTTGATTCCAGAATGCAAAGTCCGCCGTGACAAAAGCCTCTATTAAAAACATTTGGGTCATAGATTGATAAACCTGACCTATCTGTACATCTTGCTCTTGTCTGTTTCATCTATCAAGTAACTTTCTCAATTTTATTTTCTATTATACTTATTTCTCTTCATATGTGAGATTGCAAATTCTACTTTTATCACGATCCGTTCTTCAGCTTTTATTACTATTCAATTATTTTTGCTTTTTTCTAATATTTTTTCACTGAATAACTGCATATGCTTTCTTCGAAAATATATCTGAAGATCATATTTTTCATACAGTTCATTTTCTTATGTGTGCTTAGTCAAGAGTCATTCCTTCTGAAGATTCACAGCTTTCTGTTCTTGTTCGTTTCGTGTTTGAAGTCATTGTTTGTTCTTTTGCCATAGCTTACTCAATCATCAACAACTTCATTACGTGTTCTTCAGATTATTGTCTTGTCAACTAACAATGATGAAGCTAGAGCTCATCTTATTTAGTGTGAGTGACACATTAATTTTAACTCTTTGCCGTTACTTAAAGATCGAAATAAATTGTGGTTTGATTTAGATTAACTCGTTAATCGATGATCCTCTTCAACCTGTGCTCGCAATCAAAGATCTTCGTACCGGTGAACATTTTCTGAACATCATTTTTCAAATGTAAATAGGTTATTCACAATGGCAGAAAATTAAGAACGCGGATTTCCTTTTTTAGTGAGTCCGAACGAGTGCCTGAGTTAAATGTCAAACTACCATCATCAGAAGAGTCCAAAGATTTATTTCATTTTATTCTTGAATATGTTTCGAGTAAGACGTTGTTTTTGATTGTATATTAAAATGTAACAAAACGACAATTAACATTTTTCTAGAACATGCAACAACACCTTTCGATGATTCAAAGATAAATGACATTATTAGCGGAAACGAAACATTATTATCAAAAGTAAGTCTCTTTTGAAATAACTACAGGTTTCACAAGCGGTTTTGTAATAAAATTCTGTTAATCCCACATGTTTTTGCTTAAATAAGCATTGATATAGAAATTACTTGCATCTATTTTAGCTTGCATTGCTTGTTGTATTTGTTGCGCATGCTAATGATCGTTTGTATTTGAAAACATCCGAGAAAAATTTAAAGTTACACGAACAATTAAGTACAATATTTGATGCACATATGATTCAAACAACAAATAATGGTCCATATCAGTTGAATGTTGATGATGCTTTAGCAGGTAGAACAGAGGATTCTCGCGCAAACGCTTAATAATTCTATCTGTAAACTATTTTATTTTATTTGTGTTAGATCGAGGGACAGGTAAACAACCGACACCTGTTGTTCGTAAACGTCGAACTACGGAACAATATGGTAAGCTATTTCTCATTGCTGATTTTTGTCATTTAATTGCTACTTCTCTCTCTTTCTAGTATTCAACGATTCAATGATAAATCGTTCATCTATCCTCGATCAAAGTTATACCTCGCCAACGGTATGTTGAAATTTTAGAAAGTTTTTCTGAAAAATTTCTTTTCTATTCTCTTATAATTGGTAGCCTGTGGCAAATCGAGTTGATCCAACGCGAGCACTCAAAGCTGAAATAAATAAGCTAGCATACGAACAAGATGATTTACAACAACGGTGTGATTCCTTGGAAAAAAGCAATGAAGAATTAAGTGAGTAAGAATCAGAAGAAATAACAGAAATAAAATGTTCAAAATGGTTGATTTGTAGAAGAAGAAATTCGTGTAATGAAAGAAAAACTCCTTCAGAAATCTGATTATCAAGAAATTAAAGATGAACGTAACAAACTGATCGAAGATCTTCATATATGTGAACTTGAAAAGAAGAAGTAAGTTATACATTACGCCCGCTTTATTTTATTTGTACAATTCCGTGGCTGGTCGCAGTGACGTAGCCGAAGGTGGGAGAGTACACCGGAATAGTCCTTCTTCATAACAGACGTTTATACGATAAAGACATTTTTGTGTTCGTTACTTCTCTCCCGTCAAAAGACTGTTCAGCTTTGAAACGAGAAAATATTACTTTTTTTTATCAATCTAGATCATAGACGGCTTGATTTGCGCTTAATGAAAATGCTTGTTTCTGTTGTTCTTTTAGGTTACACGATGTTGCAGATAATGTTACTGAATTACAACAACGAATTCGTCACTATAAAAAAGCTGAAGAACAAATGAATGAGAAAACAACGTTGTTAGAAAAAAAAGTAAAATAGAAAAGTGTCTTTGTTAGTTATCAAATTATACAAGGTTTTCTTTGTTTTAGTTGAAAGCTCGTGAACAACAATGTGAAGAGTTCGATAAACTAATTAAAAATCAGAGTGCTTCAATACTATCATTAACGACAGCAAATGATCAAGTACAATTATTAGAACGAGATAATAGTCGATTAAAAACAATGATAAACGAAATGGAAAATAACTATCCAAGACAAATACGTATATTAGAAGACGAAAAGAAACGATTAGAAAAACTACTGCAAGGTAATAATTTTCGTACTTAGTTATTTTTAAAACGCTGAATGTTTACGTTCCTTTAGAACCACAGTCAACCGAAGAGCCATTGATTGTTGATGAAAAACGGCAGCTAGAAAAAGATTTACATTATCTTCAAATGAATTGGTGTGATCCAAAAGAAAAAGATGAAGAAATTCAATCATACAAAAATATCATTGAAAAACTAGAAGATTTAATTACACAAATCCGTTTAGAATGTCAAGAAGCGCGTACACAAACATGTGATCTTATGGAAGAACAAACCCGAGGTAAGGAAATTACTTTATTTTTAAATTTAAATTGTCTACTTTTTAATTTTTCTTTTTGCTTGCAGTTCGAGATGAGTTTCATGCTCAATTAAAACGATACGAGTTGAAATTAGACGAATTGTCGAAAGATAATAATACCATACGAGATCAAAATTCAAAAATGGTAAATATAGATTCAACTGATTAGCTGCTGTGATACCTGTAAATTAGAAGCTAGAAATGAAACAAAAAAATTTATACTTTATCTCACTTCAAAATGGAAAATCAGACTAATAAAGATGGATTTTTCTCTAGATGACCGTTCCTTTCCGAAATCCTGTGTGTGACAGACATGAGAAGTGAAGTTTTATGCGAAAAAAAATCTAAAAACAGGTTCTTAGAATCCCGAGTCGCGATAATGAGAGAAGTTCGTATTTGAACTGTTTGAACATACTGATAAGTTTTTTCTCTCTTTTTAACTATACGTGTCTACTCATATTCAGAGAAAAAAGAGAGAATGGAAACTATCATTTTCGAGGAAAATCTTTAGTGCATCAAGGAGAACTTTAGCATATTCTACGCCTCTGCCGTATTTATTTTACTTTTTCACTGAAAAGATTTTTTCTTATTTATTGAACGTTCCAGAAAGTATGTTTGTATAGCAAGCCGTCTCATGCGTATTAAAAGACTCTTTGTCTTGTGTCTTGAACTGATATACTTCGTAGCATATAGTCAAAGGCTTACAGTTGAGAGTGCTTCCTACTCAATTCTTTTGCATGTTGAATGTGTGAGTAAGAGCACACGAGCATGTGAATAAGAGCAAGGTTAGTTAATCGATTATCACTAGTACTGTTTCGCAAACAATTTTTAATTAATTTCGTTGTTGAAAATGAGCGTTCAACCGGCAATTTTATACTTCCACTATTATTAAACATTTTATCGTCTGAAGTAGAAGATTAGAACGGGACTTGCAGACAAACACCAAAAAAATCCTCTTCAGATTACTCATCAGATGTATATCACAATGAAATTTTGAGTGATAGACACGCGTCCTGTTTGTGAATCCTTTGTCTACGAGCCTGGTCATACGAAGAAGAATAAGATTACTTTCTCGGTGCATCTTCGTATAAAAATAGCGTCGTTTCTGAGAAAAGATTATGTGAATTCTTATATCTTCATGTGTTAGCGTTTTAGAATCTACTATATGTTTTTAAATACGTCATCGTACAGTAGTCTTGCAGTAATATGACGTTCATTATTAAAAAAGTTCTAATTAAATACTTATTTCTTTTACAAACAACACTCATATGTAACCCTAGATTCTGTTACCAAGCACAAACGTTACTGTAGATATCAATTAATGACAAATTTTTCTTCTTATTAAGGATAGTGAATGTTCGCGTTTACGTAGTGAATTGTTGTTATTAAAAAAGAAAATACAAGAGCAAGATATTGAATTAAATAATAAAATTGTTTCAAATGCTGAATTAAATGTGAAATTAGATGAATTAATGAATAAACAACAACAATTGGCATCAACGTCTAATGTTACAACTGAGCAATTACAAAAAATTCATTCATTAAAATATGAGTTGGATATTATCAAAGTTGAACGTGATCAAACAAATTCAAAATTATTTGATTTACAAATAAAATATGATCAATTAACACGTACAATTCATACGTATGAAATGAAATTGAATGAACAAGAAGAAAATGAAGCAAAATTAAAACTACAAGCTCAGGTATGCGAATTATTTTCTGTGAGATAACAGAGTTCCTAATATAATTGCTGCTTTTTGTAGAATATTCGTAAAGCTCATGAAACAGCATTAAATGAAAAACAAACTGAATTAGATCATTTAAAACAATCAATTACGGAGTTAGAGCAAAAATACGAACAGAGTGAGAAAAATTTGATTTTGAAATCAAAAGAAATGGATAATGTAAGTTTGATATTGATATCTCATTGTTAGTGTGTGTATAGGAGTTGTTTCATATCTTTAGTTAAAGAAAACGCTTGTCGCAAAGGTAGACGATATTCGTCGTCTGGGAAAATACGGCGAAGATTTACTCGAACATTATAATAACGAAAAAATGAAATTTAAAAAAGTAAATAAATAAATGAATTTACAATGTTCAGAAAAGATAACCTATTTTGGTTTTATCTATTGTAGACTGAAGAAGAAATGGAAATAGTAAAACGAGAACATTTGAAATTATCTAATGAGCATCAACAATTACAACAAGAGTGTACAAGATGTCAACGCCGATGTGCACAGTTGGAAGAAGAACGTTCGCCACTAATAGCTCAATTAGATTTTGCTGATAGAGAATTACGCCAGTATAAAAAACAATTCACAGAATCAATTAATAATGATGAAAATCGTAAAACGAGCGTGAGTAATCATTTGTTATTGACTTCTTTTATGTAAAATTAATTATTAGTTCAGGACAGACATATTTATTATTAACAAACAACGATTATTTTAGACAACTGTTCATGAACACCGTCAAAAACATCAAACATTCTCGTCTGGTAATAATTATCAACCGTTAATGACCGTTGAAAATACATCATTGCATAAAACTCATCATCAAGCACGTTTAATAAGATCTCCAAGTCTTGATATGCGTACGATCAAACATTCTCGTAAGTCATCGAATAAAATGTGTTTTACTTACACAATGTAAGTCAAGAACTGAAGTAGATTGAACATTTTAATCTATTGAAAACGTTCGTTTATCGACAACAAGGACAAATTTCTTGTTAACATAAGAAATGAAGAGAAGTAGCAACTGAGTAGAGACCAGAGTTCCCGATTACGAGAACCCTGATCGGAGAAGTGGTGATCCCTCCCTAAACAAATTTTTGAACTTTCTTGCAAAATTTTTGATGTTTTTCCACCAGCAACTGCCTGCCAAAAATTTCGAAAACGGTTTTTCGCCAGCCACTTTCTGCGAAACAAAATTTTTAGCCCCTCCCATCTCTAAGAACAACCGGAAACCCTGGTAGAGGCAAGAGAAATTGAAAAGAAAGCGATGACATTATAAATGAACTTGTGATAAGATTTTCTAATAGTACACTTGATTTTGTACAAGATTTTCTATGTGTTGGATTTTGAACAACTCATTTCAGTCTGGCAGCTTCATATGCGTTTTCTTTTATTTTAAAGATGGTAATGAAAAATTAGCAACAATGGACGAAACACGGTCACTCGAAGACAACGATTTTTTATCTTTACCAAAAAGTCAGTCATTGAATTCATTTGCTCCGTAAGTACTTTATTTCATCGATTGGATAAAGTTATTATATTGGATAAAGTTTTTTTTAATTTTTCTATGTTTAGAAATACACGTGTTCCAGTTGAATCAATGACAGCTAAATACGGTCTGTTTTATTTGCTTTTCTGATGTAGACATAAATTATCGTTGATTTATCTTATTTTCTATAGATATCGAAAATGAAGATGAGCCCATACATTTAGATATAGGTCCAATTGGTCTGAAACGTATTCGAGAGCTTCAGCAACGAAATGATGCACAACCAAAACATTTACGTACAGCATATGCTCTTGAAACAATGGATGCAGATCCGGGCTTATTTTCAAATAGTTTCATACAACAGCAACCGCCTCAACAACATTTATCAAATGTAAGTTTATTTTCGAATGCATGCATTATTTTGCTACTATCTATGAGATTTTAAGCAAGCCTTTCCTTTAGTCACCAAAGTCATCATCACGAGTGAAAAATTTATTTCGTCGAAAATGAAGAAAAATTGGAATATATATATAAATAAATAGAAACTCTTCTTTTTCTTCTCGACTGTCTTTGGTTTTCTTTTACCTTTAACGGTAAAACTATATGTAAAATTTGCTTAATTTTTCAATATTTGTGTTTGTAATAATACCCATGAATTTTTTCTTGCGTGTAACTGTTAGTTTTTTTTTTCGTAAATAATTATTAAAATGTTTTCAATGAAGGGAAGTTACATGGTTGTTTTTTATTCAACATATTCGAGAACAAACCTGTCTCGAACATCATCTCTACTCTTATTGTAGTTGCACTTTTAGAAAATACAAAGTCATCTACTTTTCAAAGAAAAATCACTGAATGACAGACTCGTGTAGAAGAACTCATAACTAATCTATAGTAGTTTTGTATAGAAAATCACGTTCTTAAAGAAATATTCAAAAGTACAACTAAAATTTGATTTCTTGCCAAATTTTCTTTGATTGGGTTGACTCTTTTTGTTTGTTTCAAAAAAACATAATTAGTCAAGTTGATAACGTAGTTGTTATTTCGTTTGATTAGGAAGGGATGTGTATGATTGCATTTAAATGTTAGATATTCACTCTTATTGCGAACAAATATAACAGAATTTTTTTGCAGAATTACAAACCTAACAATCTGTTTCCGTCTCTATATTGAGATTTATCTGTCGCGTGTCCAACTACTCTTTTAACTTATGTCGTCTATTTTGCTTCTTATTACTCTAACTCGTTCGACATTTCGCACCTCTCAAGTGAAAAAAAAAGAAAATTGCGGAAATTGTTCCGACATACTCCCATTTTTCATTTATAATGATCGACAAACTTAGAAATGATTGTTTTTGTATGTGTTGCCCTCTTCATCATTGTGTTGGAACAAAATATTGGTATATATCATTTGTATGTGTGCGTGACGGATGCGTTTTATTCCTTTTTAATTTCTTTTTCTTTTTTTTTTTTTTTTTGATTAAACTATCTGAAACATATGACAGAGTCACATAAAGAGAAATTTAAATATATTAGTTATTGTGTCTTGAAATAGTAACGATAAAGTTTGCGTCTTTATTTAATTAGCAAACTTCTTTATATTAAATGATCCACATGATATGACATTAAATTTGAGAAATGGAGCGACTTACAGGTTAAAAAAAGAGAGAATTATAGCTACAGAGTGAAGTTTTAACATTAACAACTAATTCGTAGATATGTGCTTTGTTGGCGTGAAACGGGCAGCTGTGCTTCATGATTAAAATTACAAGTGTTCTTCTCTATTGCAGAAAACAAGCATTCGGATAGATGTTGATCGCTTTTGATTCTTTCATGAGTCTTACATACAATTCAGTTACTATTTTTGAAATTTCATATGCTTCTTATTCTCTATGTCCTATTTGTAACTGAGATAAAAAGGAGAAAAAAGTACAAATGAAGATGGACAAATTTGATTCTGATACTAAAAGAAGTCGATTTAATGTTTAATAAGAAGGTTGAAAAACTGTAATTATTTCTTATTAACTAATATTTTCAAAGAGACATATTACGAATAATGTACAAGAAAATGTACATAAAAAAAAAAAGAAGAAATTGATTGTTCGCTCGTTTAAAACAAAAGTAAAAATATCTTATATTTGTAGACGCAATAAAAATATTTGAAATGAGAAAATAAAAGAAAATGCTTAGCTTTGAAAACATTTATGGTACGACTGGAGAAATAAAATAAAAGTACAATATTTAAAGTTTTTTATAAGAATTTTCGTTTCTATCTATCGTTCATAAAATTTTTGGCATCTATCTTACATTGATTTTAACCATTCTCAAAAATTTCTCTTTGAACATACGACAGTTTGACATTACAATAGTGATTATTAGAAATAGTCTGTAAAACTAAACAAATAACACATAAGTATCGATATTCTAATTAAATTTTATAAATATGACTGACTAGAGTAGAAAAAGCAGAAAAATCTATTATTTCATTTTCTAAAATGTTTGAAATTTTAATAATAATATTCTTACCAAGATAGTCTAGATAATAAGCACCGGTAACAAAAATTGTTTATAAATCTATTGTAGAATATTGATATTATTAAATATTAGAAAGTAATATAGATTAATAATTTTTTAGTCTCTTTAATAGATCATCTAACATCATCGTTCGATTATTTTTATAAAATTCGATTAATTCTTGACCTGTTAATTGTAGATTAAAATTGACAGCACCGTTTTTTAATTTTGATACAGACATCTGTTGTAATAGTAATTCAAATAATTTTAATGTATTATTAAATTGATCAATTAAAGTTTTTAAATCTTGTTGATTATATTTTGATGTTATTAATGCATTTAGTTTATTATCTGTTGATTTTCCATGAAATAATAGATAAATTACGAGTATAATTAATAGAATAAATAGACAAATTGTAAATATTCTATCTACTGGTATAATTGATTTTGATATTGATGAACATTTTTGAGCATTTATGGACGATTTTCGACGTCGTTGACGACAACTACCATCGGTTAGTTCAATTTTAACACTACGTTCATTAAGTGTTTCAAGTGGTGTTTGTATCGAACTTAATCCAACGTTATTATTTATTTTTGTATTTAACGGTACATTTGATAAATCATCAACATATTTATCTGGTTGAAATCGAGGTGGAGGTTGATCTAAAAATTGAGCATCATTTCCCATGTTTGAACTCTCCAATAAGTAAGATATCTAAAAAGATGAAAAATGATGAATGATCATCTCTTCTTTTCCTTTTTTCTTCGTTTTTTTTTACTATGCTTATCGTATCATATCATATTTCATTCTTCTACAATTAACTGGACTTATAACTTTGTCTACTAATTAACAATTGTACAGGTGGTCTAAATGTATAGTCAAATCCCAAAATATACAAATGAATAAATCACAGCAAGATACATGTAATGAATGATAACCTTATGTCAGTTAGTCTAAAAACTAAGCTTATTAGAATGGGTATTTCTTGACAAGTGTTTATAGAAAAAAAAAAAATAATAATAAGAACAAACGAAGAAAATATATAGAGAGAGATAAGGGAAAGGATGCTATATGCGAAGAAAACTAATCATGTTCCAATAGAGTCTGTTATAGTTACTAGAAGTTTTTTAGTTGAGTAACGTAGAGAACGAATAATTTTTTCCTCATTTTCTCGACCAACCATTTTTCTAAAATGAGAAGAAATAGAACATGATTCGTGATAGAACTATGTGAATAACGTCCTGTTTTCTTCTTTTTTTTTTTTATTATTTTTTTCTTCTTCTGAGATACTTTTTTATATAATGAATATACAGAACTTAAGAAAAAAACAGACATTTCGTAAATATTTTTTCTCTTCTATTTCTAACTCATTATTTTCATTGGTTCTATGAACATACATTCATTTTTCTGTCGATTGTTGATGTATAGAAAAAATAGTATTAGTTCGACAATGTCGGTTTTTAGCCGAAACAAAAAATTAAAGATAAAAAATCTTCTCGTTTACATTGTTTCATTGAAATATTTTTTTCTCTTATATTTTAGTTCAAGTACTCTTTTCTTCGTCATATTTCTACCAAATTTTAGTTTAAAAAAGACATTTATTTCGTTCATAATGAACAATAGTGGGACGTTTTCTCTAGTAGAATCTCTCAAAACACAATGACGATCTAAAAGCTTGAATATTATATCATCTACTACAATTGATTATCAAATATGATCAATTTGTTCAATTCTAGAGCTTATTTTAACAAGGAAGATTCCTTACCTATATTATTTGATGTGTTGTAGGCATCTATCATTTCAAAAGAATATATTCATTTTTTTCTATTTATTTCGTCTAATATTTATATTTGTTGTGTAAAGATTGATTATGTGTCATCTTCAATTTAATACCTATTTTGTCTTCAATATTCATCTCTTGAAGAATCAGAAAGCAAAAAAATAGAGTTCAAAGGCATCTTCCTTCTTTCTAGACAATAATTTTTTTTTTTCTTCTTAAGTAAATTAAGATCCGTCGACTGTAGCAAATATTTATTTTGTCGAATATGTTTATTAAAAATCACCTATAGTCTTGTTGTGTACAAGAACTAATTCAAAGTAAATCTAATTGTTATAGGGTGAACTCTTTTTGAATATATATAAAACAAAAAAGAAGAAGAAATGTGTATGTGAGAAGGACAAGGTGCAAAAAAGCAATATTGTTTAATCAAACACACAACGCATTGATACGCCTCATCAAACATGCATGCGTAGGACAAAGTAGACAAAGTTCAAATCAAGATCATATGTTGTGTGAGTGAGGATCAATCATATACAAAAGAACAATGAAGAAGGTTTCATGGACAAAAAACAAAATATCAAAAATATCAATAATTCGTTTTTATAATACTATTTTTCACGAGAGAAAATATTTCAACAGAATGTTTTAATGTTCATAGTTTTCAATAGTGTACTTTCTTTCATTCTGTCTAAAATCATGTAGAAACAGTGTTTCCATGCTCTAAGACCACTAGTTTGTCGAATTCGACCATTGAACGGAAGGGCAAAGATCTATTGAATAGACACGAGTTAAATTTCAAACAAAATTGAAATGGCATTATATCATCATCTTTAATTTAGAAAATGTTATTTGTACTTACTCGTCACATGTTTACACCAGTATGCAAAGTAGCGGCGTAGTCAGAACTATTTTAGTAGGGAAGGAAACAGTGACACGATCGCAATACAAAACGTTTCTAGGACGATTTTACCAGATAAAAGTTCGTGACACAGGAACGAAACCTAACCTAGTCTATCTTCTAGCTACGCCACTAATGCAAAGTACTCATTTCCACTTGTCTGTCTTAAAAATAATACAATCTCTTTTTGACATACATGTTTTATAAATAATAATCAACTAAAGACGTTATAGTTGTATCACTACTGTTGTCGATATGTGTTCTTATCTTGTACAGAATAAGATAGTGCTTTGGGAATTTATTTTGAATTGCTGATGTGTATAAAAACATATGGTCTGATTTCGATACGAATGAACTAAATATTGTATATACCCGTAAAGTCTAATTTTTTATAATTAGTAGGCAGTGATGATTGTACGATGCATTTTAACTTTTCATTCACTGTGACATATACATATATAGACCATATAGGAGAAAGAAAACCACTTTCTTTTCTTCTTGTTCTATATTCCATATTTTTAGCTATCTAATGTTGTCATAAATGTTACTTTTCTCTCGTTGTTTCTCGTTTAAATAAAAATCGAAAACCAGATGTTAATGATTGTACGCTTTTAGTTTGAATATATCTCGTTTTAAATTTTTCCTTTATGTCGAGTTCCTCAGGGCACTTAATGTCTGTAACTGAGATTTAATGATGTCTTAAACTAAATTAAAAAAAATAAAACGAAGAGAAGAAAGAAACACATGACGTTCTCTATTTCTTTTATCATCTCTTTTTTCATCATCACATAAAACAATAGAAATAGAATTATTAATTAAATCTTAAGGCTCTATGGTTAAACATTTTTTGACAACATGAGACATTAATCAGTCGAAAACTGACGTTCAATTCACATCATAAACCGTAGATTAGCGAGGTAATTTAAACACTTTTGGCACAATTCATTACTCAAAACATTTGAGATTTATCCTGTTAGGACTTGATACACAATACTTAAGTGGTACTTCTTCTTTTCCAATATACGATCATTTGTATATTTAGATAAAGAACACTAGTTCGAATTTTGTTTTTATAGAATAGCTCTTTTTCCACTAATTTCACAATTTAGTAAATGAGTATGAAGAACAGCATTTTTCAAGTTATGAAGCTAGTGAGATCAGACTAGATCATTTTAATTCATAATTTAAACGCTCTCGTGCATGACGCACTTTTGACAATATTAAATAAAGAATTAATGTTGGCTATTAGAATACCTTAGATATAATCGCAGTTGTTTTAATATTGACACATAGTGTGTTGTTAGCCAGAAGGTTCAATCTTCACTGGAGAGATGTTATGATAGATGAGCCCTTGTGTGTTTGTAGAAAAATAATAACAATGCTTTAGGGCAAGTATGTATTTTAACTAAAAAGATACCATAATCTCATCCATTATGAATCAACGTTTTAGCAGAATCATTTACAATACGAGAAGGTTCATTGAGAAAATGTTTGCTAGACTTCGACAACAACAAAAATGTTATAAAAATTTTCCCAACCATAGGGTCCTTAGCTGAAGACAAAAAATGGACGTAGAATAACAGAGCGAAAAACTTTAATATATGAAAAAAAAAGTATTTGATAACGACAATACAATACGATACGAAACAACTTTTGTGACTTTAACTCAAAGAATTTTATATGTTACCTAATAGAATTAAGTGTGTCTATATTAAAGTCGAATTATTCCGGAAGAGTATTAGTAATTAGTATTATTAGATTATAACTGATAACTGCTATTAAGAAAAAAAATCTGTTGTAGATTTGTGTGCAGAAGAAATAAGTGAATAAAATATTGAAAAACTAACATCTTTGGTCCTTTTCTGCCCTCCAGAACACTCTCTTCACTATAGATTTTAATTCAAACATAACTTGATATGACATGACATAGTAATTAGTGGTCCACTCATCAAATCCAATAGTATATTTAAATTCTTAGTCAAACACATTTGATTACTCAAATCTTTCGCAAACTTTCATTTTATTTAAAAATCATTGAACGACACCAACCCATTGAACCCTATATTTATATTAATTATTAACGACATCAGTTTTGCATCTATAGTAATCCTTATTACTTCCTCTTAAACGAGAAGATGTATAAGAACTATTTTTGCACCTGTAATCGTTGTATTTGTTGTCTCGTGTGTTTATTGTATATTATTTTAGTATATAATTTATTGAAGAAAATGTCTGAAACACATATGTTATCAATTTATTCCAAATCAGTAGTGTAAGCGTTTGATCTTTGTATACTATTTCCTTATAACAATTTGTTCTCTCTTTTTTCTTTTTTTTTCTTTTCATATAATTATCTATATTCAATGATCCGCTTCTCTTCATCAGCATTATAGAAGGAGAATAATGTCAATTTCAATCAAATAAAGACTTATACAAATCTATAGCATAATATGATTCATTAAGAACTCTATTCAATCTCATGATTTTGTGACTTGATCATTATTTTTCGTGCTATACAAGTCATCAGTATTAATAGAGCATGTGGAGCTATCGTATATAGTAATGATAATAACACTATACACTATATTGAACTTTCTTTCCTTTTTTTTTTGTTTTAATAATGATAGTGTTGCCATTTTACTCAAAAACATTCACTTTTTATCTCATATATATAAACATTGAATCTTCTTATCTAACTGAAAATGATTTATTTACCTCATCAGAAGCAATAATATTTTCAAGCAACATATGCCACTTATATGGATGCAATAAATTGAACGGGGAGATTAAATAGTTAAGTTTGAATTAAGTTCAAATAAAGTCATTTTTTCACGTTAAAAACTTTTAATAGAAATATAAAACTTTACATCATTGAATTTCTAATGCTATCTATTATTTAATTTTGCCTGATGAATTCAAAGATAATTACATTACTACATACAAACAGATCAGAACAATATCTGCATTTTCGAATCGAATACTTTCTAATCGTCTTCAGCATACCAACGTGAAGAAAAAAACAAAGTTCATACAGAGTAGGGGAAAAGTGCTTTTTCTTATTCAGCACACTCGATAACCCAGACGATTTTCAATTTTTGGCAAGATGTATTGTCAAAACTTTAGGAAAATTTTTTGAATAAAATGGGAAAAGAAAGGAAAATAATATTTTTTTTTCATTGGAAAGTAATATTAGTTTCTAAATTGACTTTTGATCACTAAAAGATGTAATAAAATTAAAACTTATATGAGTTCGACGAGATATTTGCTTGTTGTACAGGCTGTTTTTAAAAAGACATTATAGAAATGATTTTTGTCGCATATCACTCACAGAAAAATAAAGTTCACGCAGAGTAGGGGAAAAATGATTTTTCTTATTTAGCATACTCGATAACTCAGATTTTCTATTTTTCGCGAGACGTATTGGCAAAAGTTCAAGAAAAATGTTTTGAAATTAACATTATTCTATAAAAAAAGTTCCAGTGTGCCACTGAAATTTATTTAATCAGTTTAATTAGGTTTTTATTATGGTTGTTTATATTGAATTTTGTATTAGAGTACGGCACCGATCGCCAAAACCATGCGGCATTGCCTCGGCACTTCTCTTATGAGAAGGAAAAGATGAAGTCAGAAAGACATTCGACATATTAGAAGTAGACTGCGGTGTTAATATAGACAGAAATTGACAAAACAAACTGGTGATTGAAAACAAAACTTCGGCACTGGTGCGCATCGATGCTCAGAAAAAACATTATTCGGCATCGGTGCGCATCCGCGCACAACCAGTGCCAATAAAATATTTTTTTTAAGGGTATTTTCTAATGAAAATGAAAACTTCCTTTTCCCATTTTGTTCGAAATTTTTTCCTAAAGTTTTGACAATACGTCTCGCCAAGAATAGAAATTCTTCTGAGTTATTGAGTGCGCTGAATAAGAAAAAGCACTTTTCCCTTGCTCTTCATGAACTTTATGATTCTGTCGGTTAGTTGACCTAAGTCCATGATTATAACTGTCGTAAACGATCGTATCCGTCAAATTACACTGACATAATATGACTTGTACTATAATGTTTCGTCGTATTTTGATGTAAACGCGACCAACGTATTACGTCAACCGTTACGACCGTCGTATTTCAACGTAAACGACGTCGTTTACGATTGACATAATACGTTGGCCGGGTTTTCGTCAAAATACGACAAAATACTATAGTATACGGTCATGAATCCTTGACCTGGGCGATATGCGACCAAATCATTTTTATAATGTCTTTTTAAAAACAGCCTGTACAAAAAGCAACTATCTCTCCGAAGTCGTATGAATTTTAATTTTATTACGTCTTTTAATGATCAAAAGACAAAATTTTGAAAAAAAAGTTTTTAACAAAACAAAAGACACCTAGAGATGTCACTATGAGTCTAGCGTACAGAATGATTCAACTTACGTTCGCTGTATATTGTGAACGACTATGTTCTAGGCAAAAATCGAAATTTCGGTGAAAATTCTAGATTGCCTAACTCAATATCGTGAAGGCAAAAGTTAATCAGTTAGAAATGGCCAAAGAAAAATTTTTTTGGACACATTCTAGAACTTCTGTATTCGGCTAAGACAGGATCTTTAAGCAGGTACCATGAGTCAACACAATAAATTAGTAAATGTTTCTTTTCCTATTCCTGCATATGGATTTTTGTTCAGCTGAATATTATCTTCGCAGATTTCTTCTAGAGTGCTAAAATCTACCTGCGAAATCACGTTTAGGAGGTTATGTAGCCAGCGCAGATTATATAATTCGGTTAGCATTGCATCATCCATAATTTGTATAAAAGCGAATGTTTTTGTTCTCATTTTAATAGTACAGTAGTGTGCATTATTTAATTACTTCTAGTCTGTTTTCAGATAGTTCCATTTTACGAAACAAGATGTTTGTTCAGCGTCGTGTATTTAACATTTGTTGTAAACATGTACAAAGGATAAATCATGAAAACTCATCACTCATTCGCGTAAGTATACTTCTCTCTACATCTAATCACTTGAACAAACTGTTCATATTTCGAGTTCTATTATAGGCATCCGTACAAGCACAATCTGTACGTAATAAAAGGTAACTTCTAAATGAACACTATCAATGATTTTAATAAATAATTTTCATTCATCTATTTCCAGTGATGTGGCAAACAAAGATAGTAAAGATAGTAAAGTTAAAGGCAATGTGATTGGCATTGATCTTGGAACAACAAATTCGTGTGTGGCAATCATGGAAGGCAAATCACCAAAAGTGTTAGAAAATGCTGAAGGTTATTGAAGAGTTATCTTACCTTCTTTTATCGATTATCTAATTTTTATCTTTTTATCAGGAATGAGAACAACACCATCTGTAGTTGCATTCACGAAAGATAACGATCGACTTGTTGGTATGCCAGCTAAACGGCAAGCAGTAACAAATCCACAAAATACATTTTATGCTACAAAACGTTTAATTGGAAGAAAGTTTGGTGATGAAGAAGTAAAGAAAGAAATGTAAGTAGTTAACTATTTTTTTCTGCTTATGATGTATTACTTAGTTTTTCACTTTTTCAGGCAAAGTGTATCATTTAAAATTGTTAAAGCCACAAATGGTGACGCATGGGTGGAAGCAAATGGAAAAATGTATTCACCAAGTCAGATAGGTGCATTTGTTTTGGTGAAAATGAAAGAAACAGCCGAAAATTATTATGGAACTCCAGTTAAAAATGCTGTCGTCACGGTGCCAGCTTATTTCAATGATTCTCAGCGACAGGTAAGAGAGAAATATACGTTTCATTTGCAAAAAAGAGTGTTTTGTAATTTATAGTTTTTGAGAATCGGCGATGAAAAACTTAGCTTTTAGTATAATAAACTGACGGCAGAAACATATCAAAGTGGAATAACATATTTAATAATGCACTACTTTTGTGTTCTTAGGCCACAAAAGACGCGGGTCAAATTGCCGGTTTAAATGTTCTTCGAGTGGTGAATGAACCGACAGCAGCTGCTCTTGCTTACGGTCTTGAAAAAACGAACGACAAAGTGTAAGTGAGAAAAAAGCATAGCATATAAAAGAAGCAATCAAGAAATATAAATTGTTTTTCTTTCTTTAATCTTTAGTATTGCTGTGTACGATCTTGGCGGTGGTACGTTCGATATCTCTATCCTTGAAATGCAAAGCAATGTATTCGAAGTACGATCGACAAATGGTGATACGTTTTTGGGAGGTGAAGATTTTGATAATGCCTTACTAAAACATTTAGTAGCAGAATTCAAAAAAGAGGTGTGTAATCACTTGTTTGTCTACGATTTTGCTTAACAATTTTTCTAATTTAGAGCGGCATAGATGTAACGAAAGATCCACAAGCAATGCAGCGACTGCGTGAAGCTGCTGAAAAAGCAAAATGCGAATTATCTTCTGCAGCACAGGTAAGAATAAGCGAAGTAATGCAATCTATTCTTTCACTATCAGAACTCCATCTATTCTAGACGGATATCAATTTGCCGTATTTAACGATGGATTCATCTGGACCAAAACACATGAATTATAAATTATCACGTTCACAATTTGAAAATCTCGTTGCACATCTTATTAAGAGAACGATTGGTAAGAGCTAGGATTTAAACTTAATCTAGAGCGACTTCCAATTATTACGAATTTCTTGTTTTTGTAGATCCATGTAAAAAAGCCATCAAGGATGCAGATGTGAAACCACAAGATATCAATGAAGTTATTCTTGTTGGTGGTATGACTCGCATGCCAAAGGTAAGATACATGAGTTTTTGTTCGAAGAGAATGAGAAGATATAGTGCTCTACAAGGCAAGTTTTAAGTCAGAAATGACGAGCTAATTACTTATTGAGTACTCAAGCACTTGTTGTTTGTTGCCTTTTTTGTTCGGCATGTGCACGCCTGATGAATATGGCAAATAGATTTAGAAAAGACTATTGAATATGTACTCTCACTAGACATTTTTCTTTTTTTAAGGTACAACAAACTGTGCAAGAATTATTTGGTAAATCACCAAACAAATCTGTCAATCCAGATGAGGCCGTTGCTATTGGCGCCGCTATTCAGGTATAGTATTATAAATGCATTTCTTGACGGTTTTATAGTAATTGGTTGTATTTTGTTTTAGGGTGGTGTGCTTGCAGGAGATGTTACTGATCTCTTATTATTAGATGTAACACCATTATCATTAGGTATTGAAACATTAGGTGGTGTATTTACAAAACTTATCAATCGTAATACAACTATCCCAACCAAAAAAAGTCAAGTACGGATCGAGAAAATGTTAGTGTAGTCGAGTTTTAGAAAATAATTCGAAATATGTCATTGTAGGTATTTTCAACAGCGGCAGATGGCCAAACACAAGTCGAGATTAAAGTTCATCAAGGTGAACGTGAAATGGCTCTTGACAATAAATTATTAGGTCGTTTTAATCTTGTAAGTGACAAAAATTTAAATCGTGTTAGTCACACTCATCCTTAATTTCTTTTTTAAGATTGGTATTCCTCCTGGTAAGAATTAGCTTTACTTTTGGTTAAGAACGTTAAACGGACACATGATTGAATTAATTTTTTAGCTCCTCGAGGTGTTCCCCAAATTGAAGTAACATTCGATATCGATGCAAATGGTTAGTACATTTAGTTTAGTTATTGTTTAGTAATTCAAAGTGGTCTTCTGTTCTCAGGTATTGTACATGTGTCGGCACGAGATCGTGGAACAGGAAAAGAACAACAAAGTACGTAATGCAAGTATAACTATTTATGTCTATTCAGTTTCGCATTTGTTATATTTTTAGTTGTCATACAATCTAGTGGTGGCTTAAGTAAAGACGATATTGAGAATATGGTCCGTGCAGCAGAAAAATATGCAGCAGATGATAAGAAACGTCGTGAAGTTGTAGAAGAAGTAAATCGCGTTGAATCGATATTACACGATACAGAAACAAAAATGGAAGAATTTAAAAATCAATTACCACAAGACGAAGTAAGACATTCGCTTTTTCGAACAAAAAAGTGTGTACAAATAACAATGATCTTTTCTTTTATTTATAGTACCAAAAACTAAAAGAAGGCTCGAATAAATTACGTGAAAAGCTTTCGAATAAAGACACCGAATCATTACAGAGCATTAAAGAATCAGCTGATGAATTTCAGAGACAAAGTTTACGACTATTCGAAATGGCATACAAAAAGGTATTTATTTTGATCTGTGTTTTTCGAAGGTGAACGTACATATGCTCTCACTCCGTCAATCCTTTTTAGTGAAAAGTGAAAAAACTCAAATCATCTCCTTCCAGGGTACCGTCAGCCTCCCTTCTATAACTAAAGTGTCTTTGCTTTGTCGAAACAGTCTAATAACTGAAGTAGTAATTGGGCATTTTATTCAGAATGATTCAGAAATGTCTTTGTGAGACATGGAAAAGCTCAGATTAGATTGAACTTAGCTTTAACATCAATTTTTATGACCATATTTAGATGCAGTCTGATCGTGAAGGCAACCAGTCTCAGTCTTCATCCTCCTCTTCATCCACATCAGAAACAAGCACTGAAGAAGGACAACAACAACAAGACAAAGAAAAACAAGAAAACAAACAATAAAATATTAGAACTTCTATGTTTAGTGAAATAAACAATAAAAACAGTTTTTCGTCTTTTTCGCACGTTTATAAACAAGCAACGAGCAAATGTATTTCGTGTGTTTGGTTGTTTTCCTTTCTTTTTTGATAATGAATCATTCATTTAGTTACATTTCTCTCTCTCCAGTGATGTGTCTATTTCTAATACATTTAGGCATAGGGTATCGACGTGTGAGAGTCGACGCACTGTCGAAAAAAATCGACTTTCAACATGTTGTCGCTGAAAATTTTTGATCAGCGCCTATGTCTAGCTAGGTCTATATTTGTGTCTCATTGTTTGTTTTTTCTCTTTCTTTTGAAGATGTTAGTGTGATTGATTTTATTTTACTTGTTTACGAATGAGAGAAAAAATAAAATAAAACAACGTAGCATTATATCAGAAAATAATAATAAATAACGATGATTTGGTCAGAAACAGTTAGTTTAAAGGAGCTTCAATGAACATTTTTTGTCTGTTTATATATCACTTCCATCGAAAATACATTCGTTTGTAACTTGAAAAAGACCTATAGCTTTCAAAGTTTATCTTGATCATAGTATTTTTATTTTATATACCACTAAACATACACAGTAAGTTTAGAATAATTGTTTTACAGCGCTTCGGAATAATTATATATAAAAACGAGAAAAAAAACAAAATAGAGAACATTTTCAATTTCCTAAGAAAAAATATGTAGAAAAAAACTAAATTTGCACTGCTTTTGTCTCTAGTTGCTGTTCGTGTTCCGATAATTTTGTATCTGTCTTTATTGTTTCTTCTGGTGCTGATAAATAGCCTTCAATATCTAAGCCATAATCAATTCCTTCGATGAGACAGTTTGGTAAACTATCTTCTAGAATAAATGTTGCAAGTTCTTTATCTTCAAATGATCGTAAGTCGTAGGCACGTAATTTTTTCAATGATCTAAAAAAAAAGACAAATAAAAATTGGCAATAGAAACAAGACGTCGAAAATTCATTACTTTAGCCTTGTTAATGCTAGTAAACCTGTAACTCCGACATGTGGACAACTGCTGATATCAAGCATCAATAATCTACCATTAAATTCATTTGCTAATCGTGCGAGAAACCAGTCATCAACGTTCATACATTTTGTTAAATACATTACTTTTAATTCAGAACATGCAACTAACGAGAAGTATAAAATTTATTATTTTTAATAAGAAATAATGTTTTTGAAGATAACATGGCACATACCATAATTGTCTAATCCATCAATGTCGATGTTAGTCATAGATAAATCAACACATTCCAAATCAAAATCAAAATTTATACTTATTGAACCTTTTGGTTTTGATAATTTTTTTATCCAACGTTCTTGTCCTATAATGCGAAATCGTCCAGATAAATCAACAGTTTTTTGAGCAGCATACACATCGGGACCATAGTTAATAAAGTCTTTTTCCGTAAATCTTATAATACATAAAAACAAAATTATGAAAAAACATTTTTCTATTGAAAACATCGATACATACGCATTTTGTTTCGACGAATATCGACGAAATAACCATCGTTTAAGAAAGCCAGGTTCTTTTATTAGTGCCTTTTTAGTTTGAATAATTTCTACCAATGAAGTTCGTGATTGAGTTACATTCAAATTCTCTTTCGAAAGCCAGTATGGTTTCGATTTAGGAAGGAGTTCTAAAAATATAGACATTTTATCAGATAAAAAATTCTCTCTCAAATTTCATTTTATCATGCTGCTTACCTTCTGGGATGTCTCTGAAACCTCGAAGCAAAGGAGTAAAGCGCATATTGGATGATAACTATCGAAGAAAATTCATTGTGTAAAAACAATCTAAAGTAGTTTGAACAAATGTATCAGAAATAAATTGAATGTTACTTATGTGTATGAGACAAGAGACACATTTCATGTAATCTATACTAAATAGTTCTTTCTCGTTAGTTCATCATTCTCTATTAAAAAATAATAGTAACTTGACACATTATATGGAAGTATCAATAATACGAAGAAATATCTAGCATACAAATAAATTACCATTCATTATGATTGAAAATACTTCATAAAATTTCCGCGTAAGGAGAGATAAATTACGCTACTCATATATTTTTTTATAATATATTGTGTGTAGTGTATATAAAAGGTTATATCGATAGTCCTTTGTATTTAAACGAAAAAAGAAAGTGACAAGATTTGCTTTTTGTTCACCTGCCACTGATGTAACACTCGTTTAACTCTCTTTATACAAAGATGGTTTTGATATATAGTTAATTTCCCCGTAAATAATTGTAAATTGATTCATTGAATTGACATTCTTTTAAATACATTTCTCGATGAGATCAATAACTGAAAATCAACTTTGTACAAGAAAATTACTGCTTCCTAAAGCAAAATATGTTAACAAATTGATAAATTTCAATTAAGTAAAAAAGAAAAAAAACATGCTTTATAAGAAAATAACAACAAAAATAAAGTTCGATATTTGACAAAATTTTATATTTTGTTTATTAACACCTTCAGTTTATCTATAAGCTGACAAATCAATCGATCATTATCACATCATCATCATCATCAATCATTATTACACTTTTGCCATGGTCGTTGCTACAATGATTCTCTTTTTCCTTATCATCTAAATCCCAAGATTCGTTCACAATATCTTTCCAAGCTGTAAGATTTGCCGGTAATTTGATTTCTAAACAAAATCCGAACTAGAATTATTTCAACTGGAAACATTATAAGTTAAACAACACAAAAATATTGATAATACATTCAAACTCCTTCAAGTTATCATTTATCAATATCAGATTGACTCACGTTTAGACTTGAAACCTTTACAATCAGGATCATAACATTTTTGACGGTACATATCAAGTTTAAGATCGACAACAAAGCTAAAATCCAAAAGACAGTCAGATTTTTTATTCGACTAAAGTAAAGCGTCCTTTCGTAACGAGTAATACAATGAATCGAGCTCCTAATCTAACTAATAACATACTCTTTTCGCAAGCAACTGTAACAATAACTTGGAAAAATCATAAACTTACATAGCAAATATTTTACTATAAATATTGAAAAAAAGCATATTGAACCTGCAAAGAAGAAGTGTCCTGAAGTCTTTCCTGCATCATCCAACGGTATCTTATTTGATAGTGCACATCATTATGACTGAGAGCTATCAGTAGAGGATTTGTAAAATACACTAACATTCACTAACATTCCCGAATTAAAATCTGATATAGTCAATGGATAGAGTTTGTTAAGTTGGTTATACGAACATCGAATAATATCCAGATGGATATTTAATAACACCTACTAACAGTCAAAACCTAGTCGCTAATGGCCACTAACACTCAAAAAGACGTCAACCCCTCTTTGATTTTCTAATTTAGTACACATTAAGAGTCGAGCAGCGTATAGCTCGTATCTTTCACAGATGTCAGTCACCATGTTTTGATTATTAGTAGCTGTTGTTAAATATCCATCTAAATATTATTTGATGTTAGTACAACCCAGTTGACAAACATAATCCGTTAGGTATATCAGATTCTGATTCGGGAATGTTAATGGATGTTAGTATATTTTACAAATACACCGCATCAAAATTCCCTTCTAAATTCTAAAGTCCATTGTGACTACAACATCAATACATCGAGAATAAGCAGATTTAAAAAATCAAACACTTTTTTTTAACGTAACCAGCGAGATTTTATACCAGACCAGATACGTAAGTCGAATAATAAACGTTTATGTTTGAATGTATCATTCAAATTTGAAGATTAGGAAAGAGAATTTCTATCTGATTTATCATATACTTACTAGATATTATTTGATTTATGATGACGACCAACATTTTCGCAATAACGATAATTTGCTATTTCATATATTAAAGTTTGACTTTGTTCTAATAGTGTCCATTTTCTTATGCTGCCAACACATGGACCTTTGGAAATTAAACCTTTTATAAAATCATCGATTTCACGAAAGGGAGAAGGACCGAATGTGTTACTTGTACCTAAAACACGTATACTTAACGATAAAAAACGCATACGTTCTTCTCATTGTAAAGTCAAGAACGTATGATATACACTTACAGCTATCTCGAATATGCGAATTACTTAAAATTAAATTTGGATGTGGTTGCTCATGTCTACTCGTCATAGGAGCAGGAATTATACCTTTGATTGGGCTAAAAATAAAATAATTGACAGAATGTATTTCATAGGGTTATTTACCCAGTATATCGTACGAGTGATGCCATAAAAATTTGACGTTCACGATCTTCTTTATCATTTCCAATTGGTTTCCATTTATTTTCATCGACCATAACAAACTTTTCTTCTTTTTTATATTTACTTGATTTGTACAGACGAAATGAACGATTTTTTGTATACACACCTAGTCAACAGTTCGACAATGAAATTTCCTAACTGAGACAAGACAGTAGTTTTTATCTACCAATATCACAATACCATGAGTAAGTATCATCTGGTTTTTTCACGAGTAATTTTGATAAATCACAATAACGTAAACCACTATATTCATCACAACATGTACATTGATCAAATTTCGATAATATTGGTACTAATTTGGCAATTAAATTTTTACAAATTAATGATGATGACAAAACACCATTTTGTGGTGATAATGTTTGATTTTCATTTTCAGCAATAAATCGATCATTGCACTGATGACTAATCAATGAATCGTAAATATCTTGTAATGCGGCAAACACAAAATTACCTGAAACAAGATGAAGCAGACTTCTTAACAGCAAAAATCAGAAGAAGGATGTTAAAATACAGCATGTTATATATAACTTAATTATATAACTTATATATAACTTCTTATTTCTTCCAGATTTCAAATAGTGGTTATATGAATTCTCAAGTATATCTGACTTTCGTGACCTTACATTCCAAAAAGATGTACCGTATTAAAGGATTTTTTGCCAAATAAATATAGCTGTCTTTAAAATAATCTCGATAGAATAGCATAAG